GAAGGTAGAGCCTCCTACAGAAGAATATCCTTCAGGATATTCTCCAGCTAATATCAGTGAAGTTTTCACCCTCCACACATGTTATTGGATACCATGTGATGTTTCAAAACCAGAAGCAGATGTTTTGGAAAGGCATTCCTAGGTGGATGCAGTTCAGACTGTAGCTGAAGTTTCTAGAACTCACACAACAGACATTAGAAAATGCATGTAAAGAGAGACTTCTCAAAGGGCTTTTTATGTCTTTAAGACAGTTCTGTGCACATGAGGTTGGGATAACTAAAAGACTTTTGCAAGAGGAGGGGTAAAAGGCATAATCTCACATAAGGCGCTTGATGGCCATCAAGTAATAATGGCTTGTGGTCAGCAGTGACCCAGGCCAGAGCTGGAAATGTCACCCATCACCTCAGGGTGAAAGGTCTCATGTCCCATCATTGGTGACCCACACACAGTCTCCTCTCCATGTCCACAGGCTCTGAATTCAGCATGGGTGGGGAGACACTGTGTGTGTATCTCTCTTTCTGGTCTGGACTCATTGTAGGTCAAACAGAGGAGAAAAGAGCTCCCTGTAAGCAGAGATGCCCCGTGTGCACTGGCTTTGTCCTCCACAGGGTGAGGAGACCCGTGCCCAGGCACTGGTGGGCTGTACCCTTCCCCTCCAGGAGCTGCTGTGTTGCCAGGCTGCTGCTGCTGCTCCCCTCTCCTGTGTCCCTGCTGCCCTTCCAGACACCAGTACAGGCAAAAACCTGCTCGAGGCCGTGTGTGCCCCGTGCTGGGGCTGTGGGAGCTGCTGAGGCAGTGGTGGGCAGCGTGACCCCCAGCCTGGCTGTGCTCGTGGGGGCACAGCTCCCCAGTGCCAGGCCTGAGACCCACATCCACCATCTGCCTCGGTCCCTGTGCTCTTCCATCCCCTGCCAGAGAGCTTCTTCTGTGCTGGCACCAGCTGAGCAATGCCTCTCTCAGGGAGAGCTGCCCTCTGACATCAAAAGTAGCCACAGGGCTTGGGGCAGGGGTTGCCCAAGTAAAATTTCTTATTGTTCCCTCTGCTTCAGTGACAGTCTTCCAGAAAAACAACCAGCAGAACTTGTGGTGATATTTGATTATGTTCACAAACCAAACCAGAAACCATTGGAAACCAGGTTTATTGAGAGCATTGCCAGTTTTATTCTTTGCTTCTGTGTTTTGGAAAGGAAAACTGGAGTTTGCCAGAAACAGCTAGGCACATGTGTACACACCAAATTCTCCTGGAAATTGATGTACAGTAATCAGGGTTTTTTCATTTGATTCTAAAAAGAAATCCACCCTCTAGGGATGAAACACTAGATCAAGCATCAGGATTAACACCTGAGCTTACTATAATATTGAGTTTTACACTGACTGAATAATGTTGCTCATATCACAGATAGACAAAACATCCTCTTCACTGTCTTGACCTAAAGATGCAATTAGGGGACAGGGTCCTGTTCACACCCCTGGCAGAGCAGCAGTAATCCCACTGTGCTGCACCCAGCTGGGGGTTGCAGAAGAGTGTCAGCAGACAGTGGAGCTGCAGAGGTGGGAGCCCACCTCTGCACCATGCCCAGGCAGCTGAGCCTTGCTGGGATGCACAGACCTTACAAGGTCTGGCAAGTTTACTTGACCAAATCCCTCAGGTGACTTAGAAGGAACAAAGGGAGACAAAAATAGATTGATGGGTTGTGTCAGGAGAATTGCAAGTGTCAAAAATATCTGTTGCTCAGGGCAGAGGAAGATGGAAGTGACTGGGAGAGGCCAGAGTTCAGGACTGGATTTATAAGGCTCCTTCTAGCACTGATAATTGTCATATCTGCACGTGTGTTGCCATAGTCAGGATGACTCTTCCTTTATCCTCTGCTCTTCTTTTTTCTTAACAAGATTTTCTTAAAGGCTTTTTCAAAAGGCATCACATGGAGCATGGCTCAGCTGGGGCACCCTGGAGAAAAAACACAGGGCTGCCTGCAGCAGGGAGTGAGGGCAGGGTGGCAGCGGGTGTGTCCTGGGAGAGGTGCACACCTCCAGGGAGCACAGCACCCTGCAAAGCACCTAAATTCAGTGTCTGTACTGTGGGAGAGAGTCCACTCACAGTGCTCAAGGGCAGGGGCAGGAGAAGGACATCAGTGCAAATTACTGTTTTTATCTTCTGCTATGTAAGATAAAAGAGAGATGGAGTGTGTGATAAATCGTTGTGAAGACAGGCTCTGGTGTTTTTCCAAAGAAACCATTTCAGTTGATGTCTCTGGGGCCTGACCTCAGTGGGCATTAGGGGAGGACCTGGCCAGAGCAGGCACAGCCACTCTGCCTGGGCATGGCCTGGCTCAGGCTGCTGTCGGAGAGCCTGGCAGCCCCACCTTGCCAGCCCTTGCCAATCTCTGTGCCTGCTCTGGATCTGCTCCCACGTTGGAGCAGATTTATCCCATAGTGTACATTTGTTCTCTGGCAAGCTGGAAGCTACAATTTATTATTAAAATTGATTGGCTCCAGTGCAGGGAAAACGATCGCAAGGAAACCCTATTACAGTTTTTCATTATCACTATTATTTATTTTTAAGTGCTATTAATATTCCCGAGCCTGGACAAGGCAGAAGGTGAGAGGTGGTACCCACCCCTGCTGCTCACAGCCTGAGGTCTGGCAGTGCAAGGGCTCTTGGAACAATTGAGCGCGTTGGGAAATTTTTACCCTCAGTCTGCCTCTGGCAAATGCTAATGGAAGTAGAGCTGAAAATATTTGCAAAAAAGTAAAATAGGCTTATTTGTATCATAGATGGGTTAGTTTTGTTTTTTTTTTTTCCCTCCCTAGTAATGAGCTCTTTTTCCTTACCTCTGTGATGTCACTAGCATTAATGAAGAGGGTTTTGATACAATTGAAATTGGGTACCAAGGTATGTTGTAACTCTTGGGACACTGTCTATGGAAATAATTGTTCAGGAATACTACATTTCAGCAAATGAGCACAAGTTAAGGAAGACAATGTGTTATGCAAGCTAGTTTCACAGTAGATGGTTGTTTTTTTGTTACTCCCTACTATTTCAGAGAGCTCATGTAGTAGCTTGTGACTGAAGCCCCAGAGGCTGCCTCACTAATTGAGCTGGCTCTGTACCTACTGCTGTGGCTGTCATTTGTGATGTGATGATTCACACTGAAGCATTGCACAGCACTGACTTGGATCACACTATCTGTGCCATTAGGATTTTCTGACAAATTATGATCTGGACGGAGTATCTAGGCAGAAGATGGAATTTGTGTAGTCTTTGAAAAAGGAAGGTGTAAAGCAGAATGAGCAGAAATGAAGCACAGCAAATGTTGTCTGCACCTGGTTTGTGGTCATTTCTGCCTGAGCCTGTTAGCTGGGGCAGTCAGAGCTGGAGGCTGAGGCTGTTACAAAGCTGAGCTCCTGCAGCTGCTTTCCCAGGAATGTCTGATTATCAAATGGTCAGACATACATAAAGGACTGAGATGCTGTTGGTATCCTCATTCTTACTATTTGTCAGTAAATAACAGACTATTCTTGCAAAAGCATTTTTAACCCTTGATTTGCCCATGTTAGCCTCCAGTGGGGATGCAGATTATTTCAGCAGGAGCCAATCCCCACAGTAAATTCAGCAGTTTGGCTTCAGTAGGGGCTCGTGTGCATCAAGAAACCTGGTTTTTAGCCCAGAAGCTCCACAGGGTTTTAGAGGTCAGGATGTAACTTCAAAGCATTCTTCAAAGGTTTTCAGATAAAAATACCTGTAGGAGACACGAGCTTGGCAGCCCAAGCCATTTGATTGATGTGTGATTTCTCATGACAGAGTATGTGGCTGGAATATAGATTGTTAGGGACCCTTTCAAAAGCCTCTCCTCGGAGGGGATGGAGCCACCAGTGTGGTGGTCCCTGCCTGGGCCAGCAGAAGGAGCCTTCACAGCCCCTGGCTCCTGATCTGTGCAGCTCCTAATTCTCAGGTACCAAAGGTGGATGACTATTTGTATAGCTCCCATGAGCAATGAAACCCTCGTGCCAGTGCTGGCCCTTGGTAGTAGCAGAAGTTGTAGAAAGGACCCTTGCAAAGTAATTTGTTGTTTTCATTCCAATAATCATGGTGTAAGTAGAGATAGTGCACAAAATTCTTCATGTAGTCAGTACTGATCTCCACATAAGCCAAGACTAGACAGACACAGAGAAAGAACATTCATATTACCTTCAGAAACAAATCTCTCAATCAGAATTAAAGGACATTGTTAGACAATGAAGGGAAACAGACAACTTCAGACAATTTTGAAAGTGAGGCAGAGTAATCTGCCCTCCCAAGGAAGCTTTTATCCTAGCAAAATGCTAAGATGAGCTGGCAGACATTCGAAGGCTGACAGAGGGATCTGGGAGTCTCCCTCACATCCCATCAGATCCTGCCTGGAAGGTGATCTGGGAGGCAGATTTCAAATTGCAAGCATCCTTTAGAGCAAAATAACATTCTCATAGGGAAAGAAGGGATTATAGATGAAACAAGGATCAATTCTATAAAGAAGATTTGCTATACCATTGTTTTTCATGACAAAACATGTTTTATTTTATTCAGAATACATTTGGCCTGTAAGACTGTAGTAGCAACCTGCTTTCTCACAGTTCCTTATTTCTCAGTCAACAAAAAGCTACAGAAACGGATTGAAAGCAACTAATAATGGTAAAAATATTATCAAGGTTAGCTTTAGAGTTCCCTGAAATTCCTGTTTACCTCCTAGAGATATTAAATAGTTAAATTCTCAGCACTAATGGGTAGTATCAAAATGTAAGTTCTTAGCAAAAGCATTTGCTGAGTTTTAACAGACAACAACAAAGGTATTTTCTTTCCTTTCTTATACTTGTAATAGTTTATAAAGAGAGATTCAAATGTCCCACATGCTCTCCAAATTCAGAAGCTGACACGAACAGTCCTTTTTCCCTAATTAGCCCTGTACTGTGTTCCCACACACTCCTCTGCCAGCCCTCTCTAACTCTCCTCCCCTTTCTTGCAGCGTGCAAGAGGAAAGAACAGGAACACGGGAAGGATAGAGGGAATACACCCAAAAAGCCTCGGCTGGTCTTCACTGATGTCCAGCGTCGAACTCTACATGCAATATTCAAGGAAAATAAGCGTCCGTCCAAAGAGTTACAAATCACCATTTCCCAGCAGCTCGGGTTGGAGCTGAGCACCGTCAGCAACTTTTTCATGAATGCACGGAGGAGGAGTCTGGATAAGTGGCAAGACGAGGGCAGCTCCAATTCAGGCAACTCATCTTCTTCATCAAGCACTTGTACCAAAGCATGAAGGAATAACCACGAACTAAAACCTCGGTGGAAAAGCTTTAAAAATAAATAAATAAATAAATAAAGACAGACCAGGACCTCAAAATAGCAGGTTTATACTTAAAACTATTTGAAAAAAAAATATTTATAAGTCCAAAGAAACCAAAGACTTATTTCACCTGCATTATGACTTTGTTCTAAGACACACACTTTAGTAGGATGACGACTTGCAAAAAACAGAGAGGAAGAAGAAAGCGAAATGGAGGGAACGGAACGGAAAGCAAAGAGAAGAGGAACAGACCACTGGTCTTACACCTTTGCCCATTATCATCTTCACCGTACTTGGCTGTTTAGTGGTTTGGAGCATAGTGATTTCCTGTCATGGAGCAGACATCTCGTTGGATACAGCTCTCCACGTCCGCAGCGACTGCCACGAGGTGCTCGGTGTGTCCGTGCTGCGGACGCCAGTGGGCAGGGACTTAGGGCTGGTCTCCAGAGAGGGCTGTGCCAGGGCACGGCCGACAAAGCGTGGAGTCGTCTGAATTCCTTGGAACGGTAGTGTGATTTTTGCTGTTTCACAGTTTGAACTTGGCTGGTGCAATGCCTCAAAACAAGTTCAAACTAGGCAAGGAAATTTTGAATGGTACCTAAACCAGTGCATTCTCTTTGTTTGTTAAGGAATGTTCAGATTTAAAAAAGGAAAACTATTCCATCCATAAAAAAAATCGACTAGCTACCAAAGAACACATTTAATAATTGTATTGCAGGTATTTTATTGCAATGATTTTAATATTCCAAAGCTATTTTTACACAAATACTATGTAGAGTTATAGGTATAAACTAATCTAACTGTATAACACATAAAACTTGTAATCAAGACTGTTATTTGCAATTAGTAAAACCACATTATCGTTTCTTTCTGTGATTGGCAAGAAAGAATGTGACCCAAGGAGATCACAGCCCCTGGCAGAGCACGGGAACTGAGAACGGGATGCTGCCCCCGCTGAACTCAGTGAGCCTTTTCCTCACTGGCTTCAACGGGAGCACAGGAAGGAGCCACGTGTGTGACACCATGTGTGACACCGTGTGTGGCACTGTGTGACACTGTGTGTGACACCGTGTGTGGCACCGTGCGTGACACCGTGTGTGACACTGTATGTGACACCGTGTGTGACACTGTGTGACACCATGTGTGGCACTGTGTAACACCGTGTGTGACACTGTATGTGACACTGTGTGTGACACTGTGTGTGGCACCACATGTGGCACTGTGTGTAACACCGTATATGACATCGTGTGTGGCACCGCGTGTGGCACCGTATGTGACACCACATGTGGCACTGTGTGTGGCACCGCTGTGACTGTCCCCAGGCGCTGTCCCAGCTGCAGCCCTGTGCCCAGAGCGGCCCAGGCTGCCATCTAGCCCGCGAACAGGAGACCCGAGGCGCTCAGGATGCACACACTGGGGGATGTAAAACCGCAGGGCTCAGCGTCTGGCCAACGCTCACTGGCATCCGTGGCTGGTTTGTACCTCTCGATTTACCAGGCACAGGAACAGATGCCCGTGGTCTTTTCCTGCTGCAAACAGTGGTCCAGCAGCAGCCAAGGTGGGAGGGCTCCAAGAGCAGCTGCAGCAGCGCTTTTGGAAGGAGGAATTGTGATCTCTCTGAAGTCAAAAGCAAAATTCCCATGACACCGAGATACAGCCCGATGTTTTGTGGCTTTGTATCTATGTGTAGCAGGCTGAGCTTTTGTCCCATGCATTCTTTCTTGCTCATCTATTAGTCAGGATAATGCATGAAATAGTTTGAAATTTGTAGCTGAAAAGCTTTAAACGCTCTGTTGCTAACAGACCCATAGGAGATAAATCATCCCATTCCTACTCTGATAAAATTAAAGAGAAAATCGTGAAATATCTGCATATTAAATTTTAATGTAAGGGGAAAATAGACTGTAAAAACCATACATGTGCCTGTTAGATTTCTAACTGGTATTTCAAATTACTTTAGTGATTATGTTAGGTATAATAAATTCCAAAATAACCAAATATGCAGGTATAGGCCCAATGCAAGGACTAGAAATAGGTAATCTTACTTTCAACCTTTTTGTTTTTAAGGAAAAGAGAAAAAAAAGACAAAGGAAAATTCAAGGTAAACTAGAATCCAAACACTATGAACCGTAGCAGATACTGGTTTGGGGGATGAAGCCCACTCAAAATCCCAGTGACATCAAAGTTGAGCAACTTCTGTAGCACCAGTTGTTTCCCAAGAGGACAGGGTCTAGTCAAGGTTCAGGGTATTTAGTTTGTTTCCACCCAGTGTTTAGAATACAGGTGAAATATCTCTTTATTAAAATAAAGTGAAATAAACCAAATATTTTTAGCACTGAATATTTCTCTGTATTTCAGTATGTTAAACCCACTTTAAGGCTGAAAAGGCAATTATCTATGAAAATGGCATCTAATCCAGACATTTTTTGAGTCTCTAGCTTACCTTAAATTTTAGCAAGCTTTCTTTTGAAGTGTTCCATCCCCATGGAGACATAATTGACATGGAAACATTGATAAGCTCACATATAAAGTACCTTATGTATGCAGTCTCATTAGTGTAAGGTTAATAAAGGACAGTGATAACTAATGGTTTAGTTTTTTCCAGCAAAACACTGCTTTGTAACGTACCTATAGTTTAGAGAATAAAGCCTTATTTATTTAAAACTTGAGAATTTAAAAATGCAGGGAAATTCAAAGTACATTGCCGCATTTTTAGTATTTCCATTGTATTGTCTTTATAGACTACTTGCTGAAACCAAAGAGAACTTTCATACCAGCATTAAATTTGCACCCAATATGCAATTTCAGGATCTCTGATACACACACATGCAAGCCCCTAAACAGGACTGTGTATATGTACATGCACACACATTTTGATGGAGTGTATGTATGTATACATGTGCACACACACGTCCACACACACAAAAACTGATGCACAAGTTGTAGATTTTAAGTGTTTTGGGTTTTTTACATGTCTGTTTAAGTAGATATAAACCTTTTGGTTTTCTCTAAGCCATTAGGAACAAACCACTCTTCCCATGAGCAATATGCGCCTCATACTCTGAATATAGGCAAAGAACACAATTTCCTTTAATTTCCTTCCAAACATGAAGCAAATAACTCTGGAACTGCTCAGTCTGCTGGAAAGCTGTGTCACCTCTGAGCAGACTGCCTGGCCACACCGACTGAAGCATGGACAGGTTACCTGGTGCTCCCCTGCTCTGACTGGTGCCATTACTCAACAGGGCATCCTTGAAGGGGAGTTTCTTCTGATGCTGCATTTACCATTACCCAGGAAACCTGTCTCTGCCTGATAGTCTGTCAGTTCATTTCATTCCTGACAAAATGGGAATTAGTTTCAAATTTGACAAGAGGATCTAAAACTCTGCCAGGCAGGATTAGGAGAGGGAGCAGAACCCAAAACAGTTTGGGAGCATCAGGAGATGGGGCTTCAGTCAAAGGTGACTCCAAGGGCAAGAGGGCATTAGGAACACGCATTCAGCTAACAGGCTGCATCCAAACATGACCGCAGTGACCCACGGGGGGAGGCTGGCCAAGAGGTGAACTGTCCTCATCCATCCCCATTGTAAATGGCATCATTAGATTTCTAGGAAAAAAACAAAACAAACAAAAAAAAAAAAGGTCCTCCTCCAGCCTGCCCCACCGCGCTCCTTTAGCCCTGCGTGGCTTTCCAGGGCCGCAGCCTCCTCTCCTTACTCAGGTAAAGCAAACCCCACCAGAGCCAGCCAGCAACGGGGCTTTGGCTTGAGAAGTTGCTCCTGCACACCCCACACCAGGAGCAAATTCCCAAGCAGCCGAGTGGCCGGGGTGGCCTGGCATGAGAGCGGCCCCAGGGCTGCCCGTGGGCACCGCGCTTCTCCTGGGTTTCAGGACAAGGCCGGTGCTGGTGGGCACTGCCCCAGGGGCTGCTGCTGCCCAGAGGGCTGGGAAACACTGCTGAGCTTATACCAAAGAGTCTTAGGACACCTCTCCTCACCTGAGTTGTAAACAGGACATTTTTACCCCAAAAATCGTTCCTTCTTTCTACTACTCTTCCTCTTCCTATCCTCCTCCTCTTCCTCCTCCTTTGTACATAGGGATGAAAACTATGCATTTAGCAAACAAAGAGAAAGCACTTACCCTTTTCTATCTCACTGCGTTTGGGTGCATTCAAAGGCCCAGGGGCTAATTTTGAGACTTTGCTTAGCCTCCTGGTTTATTATTGTGGTGTGGTTAGCTTTACAATACATTTGGTAACTATTTGCTAAAGACAAAGAAGCAAAAGGTAAGGAATAGCTACTTCCACGTGTTAAAAAAAAAAGAAAAAAAAAAGAAAAAAAAGTGTGTAAAGATCTACTATTTATAGTGTGAACCAAAGACGCTACCTCACTCGATTTCCATTGGTGATTTTAATCACATTGATGATACCAAAGAATACCAAAGATTTTTCATGCACGGCCTTGGTCTGGAAAGGGAACTCATCCTCCTTCTTACCCCCTTCCCCTGACCCCCTTCCTCACCTTCACTCAGTGTGTAACCTTGTCTTCATTCTTAGTGGTAATGCTAATAATCTTATGAATACTTCTCTTGCTACAACTGCTACTACTGACGATGATAAGGATAATAATAATAATAATAATAATAATAAAGCTCTTGGCAAACATGTTGCAAACTTTGTAAACTCATAGGACGAGTGCCTTGCTTGAACCAAAGTGTTAAACCGCTGTTGACCTCTTTATCTCTCACCTTATACTCTTTGAATACCTCAGCCTGTTAGAAAGGCCACTAATGAAAAAAAGGAATAATTCTTCACCGTGGTGCTTTTTGCCGTGCAACCATGCAATGAAACTTTCTTTGATACCAAAGGAAAATGTTTTTTTCCACTTTCTTGCTGACAAACCAAAGGCTCCCTCTTCTTTCCCCCAAAGCAGCTTGAGTCCCTCAGCCCAGACAGGCCGTGCATCGCTTTTACCAATTCCTCCAAATACCTCATAGTAATAAATCTTTAGGGTTATGTTGTATAGAGAGTCTATGTGATAAGGCAGAACTTACTAGTTTGATAATTGTTAAGGTTACTTAAAAAAAAGCTTTATAATTCTTATTTATTTTGTAGGGGTTGTTTTGTTTGTATATTCCTTTTATATTGTTTGGTTTGGTTTTGGGTTTCTTCTTTTTTTC